AGAGAGAGAGAGAGAGAGAGAGAGAGAGAGAGAGAGAGAGAGAGAGGGGGGAAGAAACAATGGAGAATGGAAGCGAAGATCCACAATTACAACTACAAGAGCAACAACAGCCGCAGCCGCGACGGTTGAAACCGATCCCACCGAATCCACCACCAACAGATCGACCGGCTCGTATTTACGCCGACGGTATCTACGATCTCTTCCACTTCGGCCATGCTCGCGCCCTTGAACAAGCCAAAAAACTGTATATTACTTTCTCCTCTATACTCCTTCTTATTTCCCTTTATTTACTCATGGTTTTTATAACCTCCAATTTTGTTTTTTGTGGCATATTACTCCATGATTTTAATAGACTTTGATTGTAATAAGATTTTCCAGTTTCTATATTTTATATTCTCAAATGGGATGCTATATTTCTGAGAGAACTGGAAATATAATGGTAATTGGTATAATTTGTTCCGTTGTGAGAGGGATCCCATCATAGGCGAAAAAGAATGCTGATTAATTTGTGATACTCTGCGCCTAAGCCTCGGTCAGAAGAGTTACATCGTAGCTATATTGGTAGGAAGATAAATGTATCTAGTGTTATATTGAGGGAGTTTTGGCCAATAACATCCCTTAATTATACTTCAAACTTAAACTACATCCTTGTACTACCACGGCGAACAAAAAATATCCCTAAACTATCCAATATGTCACAAGTCAAGAGAACTAACAGCTTTAACAAAAAACATGCAACTTCCCCACAAATGCTACTATCTGTCCCCTCCACTATCATCTTCAACATCCAACAAAATTTGTTTTTTTTACACGGAAGTGCTATTATATAATTCAACCGGCAGCTAAGAGATCGAGCATGATTTGGTTGCATGAAAAGAATTTCTAGAGCCTCTATGGGTTCTGAACTTGGGAAAGGCTTTGCGTTGTTACGTATGGATGGTGAAGTAGTGTGGGGCGCCACTACCTTCCATGGTTTGGTTTTGAAAGCATGCAAAAAGCAATCTTTGCTCAATGTCCTTAAATATAGAAGGTTCATTAGCTTTGTTCTCCATTCAGAACCTAAAGCTGCAATCTTTCTGAGGAACAAACAAGACTATAGAGAAGCCTTGAACTGGGTTATTCAGCTAACTTCAAAGTCAGGGACATAACAAGAAATGGAATACAGTAAAGCTCAAATTGAGAAGCTCAAGGATAGATCCATATGGAGAAGGCAAATCCATTGGTATCCCAGATAGTGTTCAGATCAGACTCCATTGCTAGCAGTGCTCACAGTCATGACTTTGGGGACTCCAGAACAGTTTCTCTGTGCGCGTCAAAACGCTCGTTAACACTAATGACAAAGGCGAAGTAGCTAAAGCAGTTTCTCAAACTTATTCTGTGACTTGAAATCTGGAGTTGAGATTAAAATTAGACCTGTTGGAAAAAAGATGTTTATGCCTAAAGATCCCAATACCACCATTATAGTGCTCGCCCACTAGAATTGGAAGATAATTTCCATGCATTCTTGCAAAATGTTCTTTGAGAAAATGATGATTACAACCCAGCATAGCAAGCACACTCATGCCTACTGCTTGCGGAGAAGAAAGCCATCCTCCATTCTGTTAGTCCTTTAACAAAGTTTTGTATACTTCAAGGATGTTTTTTGTTCACTATATGGTATTTAAGGATGTAACTTAAGTTGGATATAGTTCAGGGATGTTATTAGCCAAAACTCACTATTGAGATGTGCAATAGTTAGCCTGTAAAAGGGAAAAACAGTAAATGTTTGCCTAAGTTGCGTTTTAATTTTCTTGGGATTTTATTAGTTGTAAGCCATGACGAATTTGTGAAATTGAACTGACGTTTTACTTAGACTAAACTATTCATTGCTGAAAATGTAGGTTGCCCAACACTTACCTTCTTGTTGGATGCTGCAATGATGAAATCACCCACATGTACAAGGGAAAAACTGTTATGAATGATAAGGAGCGCTATGAATCTCTGCGCCACTGCAAGTTAGTTCAATGGAGTTGTCAATTCTGTTAAAAGTTTAGCATTTGCTTCAGTCAGATTTACTGAAATGTTTTTTTCTTCTTGCGCTAATACTGAAATGATCAAGTGTCTAATTGTTCATTCAGTTGTTGGTGTCTTCAGAATACGTATACAAAATTATGAACTTATATGCACCTTTAAACTTATAATTTCGTGTTGATGTTTCTTATATTGTGTGTATTGAGGGAAACTTTGATTTTTAAAATGAATGTTGTCTGTAATTTATGTTTGAAGTCCATTCTTTTGTTTACTCTTATATTGTTTTGTTCATTTGCCTTTTGGTTCCCAATGAGATGAATGGTTGAGGTCACTTCTAGCTATTTTGTATAATCATGTGGTTTGTTGGTGTGAGATAAGAGACACAAGGGTGAGAATGAGAGATTGTGTGAAGACGAATGTCTTATACCTGAATTTATTTATAGATTCAATATACAATATAAAAATAGCATATTTACCCCATGTGGGAGACTACTATTATGTTAAACTAGGTATATGACTATTTAAGCTTAATTATCTAGCTCCTCTTCAAGTTGGTGCATCAAGTTGTATGTTCCAAGTTTGTGACACGTGATCTGTTAGAGGATATCTGCTGAATGTATGCAAGTTGATCGTTTCACTTCATCAACTCTGTGATAATATTTCTTGAGAGTATCTTTTCTTCGACAAAGTCACAATAATATTTATGTGCTTGGTTTGTCATGAAATTCTGGATTTGATGCATTATGAAATACATTGTGATTATCATGACTAACGGGTGGCAAAATTAGCTCATGACAACGTGGTCCACTCAACCCATCCATGTTCTTTTACCCTGATAGACCAGACCGAATATCTTTTTCTTTTTCGATAAAGAGTCTTAATCCAATAAATAGAATATTTGGTTGAAAGAGAGCTCAATAAAGAATACAAAAAATAGAGTGAAGTGCCACAAAACCTTAAGAGAAAGAGTCTGAAACTGATGGAAGATGGAACAGGATATTGAGTTAAGTTTGCTGGATAGTGTTGGAAAACAGCCATCGGAAAAGGTTGCTGAAACATCCTGTTCGAGGGGAAAATAACGTTTGAAACAAAAAACACACTGCGTAATTGCTAGAGATGTCGGAGCTAAACTTGACAACTTAGGGTGCCGGAAAACTTAAGTGGAAGTGATTTAGATGGCCTACTTGATTTGACTCCAAAGATGCTGGAAAGAAAGATTGGAAGTGGCCATAAAGATGATAAAACAAAAACGCTCTCTGGGATTTGACTGAAAGGTACTAAATAATAAAGGAATTTGACTGGACAAGTGGACAGTCTTGGGCTAGGGTTCGGTGATAAGAGTTGCTCAGAACCTCGGTGGGGGATTGAGATTGACGAGTCTGAGGAAAGCAGTTGCAGTTTACGGGAAACTACCTCACGGGCCAGCCGATGAGATATTTTAGCCGCAAAAGTTTTCTTCTCTTAGATATGCCTTTTGGGTTGTGCTTGCATGGAAATTTCGGTCTTATAATGGTACTAGATTTTGCGCAAGCACTCATTGAAGGTTACAGGGCACAACAATTTCTTCTCCTGGATTGTCACCGGTATCTAAGTTACACTTCTCGGCAAACTTCTGATAGCAAGCACTGATACTGTGCGAGTAATAAGAGATAAGAAGAAAAGACTGAGAGAACACGTGAAACCTAATGTCTGATCCTGTTATAGGCACACGATAAAAACATATATAGGTAAATAATATGGGACACTACTATTATTCTGTTGTATTACACCAAGCATAACCAATTACACATAACTATCTAATAGTAGGAATTACTGTTCTGATTCTTGCCGACATTTTTTGGTTTCTAAGGAGGTGATATGCATGATATTGCATGAAATCCTACTTGCTGAATATGTTCTTATCTGAATCTGCACGTGCTGTTAGCCTGTTAGAATGTCTAATAATGTAATTCTGATGGGGTTATGTCACCCTTTATATTAAATTGTGTTATGGTTGCTATATTGTCCTCATTTTAGGTTAATTGTGTATGCATTGATGCAGATGGGTTGATGAAGTTATTCCAGATGCACCTTGGGTTGTTACCCCGGAGTTCATTGAGAAACATCATATCGACTATGTGGCACATGATGCTCTTCCGTAAGGCTAAATGGCCCATAAAATTTTTACTTCTGTTGATCTGCATGAGGTCCTTGTTCCTTCATTCCTTGGAACTGATATTTAGAGAAGCTTCTGATATTATATTGGTTATTTTACTTTAAGATGGATTAGCTTTGCATAACTAATTTAAGCCCCCCCCCCCCCCGCGCGGGTATGGTTTGCCTTGTATTATTTGTGTTTTCTTTTGGTTCATAGATATTTAACTTTTAATATTTCCTCTTCTTGTCTCTACATGTCAGTTATGCAGATGCAAGTGGAGCTGGAAATGATGTTTACGAGTATGTAAGTCCATAATGAACTTCAGTTATATCATAGGAGACTTTCTACCTTATTCCTTAATGTTTCTTTTTGAAAGAATTGAATTTGTATCTGTACAATGTTTGTGTGCATATACCAGGGTATCTGCAACTTGTGGATCTTTTTTAACATGCTCTATGAAATTCGTTCTTGATTCATTATAAGATTTCTAGTTTGATATGCTCTCTTAATGCATGCTGAAGCCTTGTCTGATGTGAGTATTGTGAAAACCTGTGTTATTAGGTTAAGTCCATTGGTAAGTTTTTGGAGACCAAGCGGACTGATGGAATATCTACTTCAGATTTAATAATGAGGATTGTAAAAGATTACAATGAATATGTGATGCGCAATTTGGACCGAGGATATTCAAGGAAGGATCTTGGTCTAAGCTACGTGAAGGTATGCTCTTTAGTTTTTTAATTGGGTGATTTAATACCTTGCCTTTCCCAGGAAAAAAAGTGTTTTAATTGGATGATGTAGACTTTCTGCTAGCATTAGCTTTACATTTCGCTTTTTGTTTGCTTTGCCACGTATTAACCTCATTATTGCTTCTTTTAGGAAAAAAGGCTGAGAGTGAACAGGGGGTTGAAAAAGTTGCATGAGAGAGTAAAGAAACAACAAGAAAAAGTGGAAGAGAAGGTATACTCTTCTTTATATGACTTACAAACTCTACAGATGCATTTCATTTCTTTAATTTCAAATGCGAGCTTGTGGTAGAGCCTCCATAGTATATCTTGTTTGTGAATATAGTTGGCAATTACCTAGAAAAAACTGGGGGAAAGGATATTAAGATCCCTGTCCTCCAGCTGCTAGATTTTGAGTGTCTGTTTTTCAAATGGCACTTTGAGCAATGAAAGGGTAGTATTGGAAACAGTATGAGCGCGCGTAAGGTAAAGTTGAATTGGAGGATACAATTAATAAGATGTGAATAATATGAAGTGTTACGTGGATCGGTTTGGCACATCCTAGACCGAGACAGATCTAAGACTTCTAGAACATGAGTGCACCACCATTAAGTGGGAATTGAACCCTATTCCTTTGGGTGAATAACTTAACATTTGATCAAGTCCACCATTCGACCTTATTGGAGCATGCGTACCAGTTTATATTAAATCAATTCTTGGAAATATGTACATAAAATACCTAGTTCGGCGGAAAGACCATGGGTTCACGTGCACTGTATCATGGGGGTAAATCCGCCCCTGATCCTATAATGGAATTACAACATTATACCGTCACTGAAAGTAAGGAAAAAAAACATTGCTTTGTGAGTTAGGTGTTCAATTTTTTTATCATCTCTACAACTCTCATTTCTCATGTTATTAGATTCTTCACATTTTAAGCTGACAGCATTTCATTAGGTCAAGTTGTCACCCTAGGAGATGAAGCATTCACATTATGTCATGCATAGGAACTTGGATAAATACAGTAGCGATCCATATTTTCATAATAGCTATACTAGCATGGATCCATGCTTGTGCATTTAGTTGTTTTTTCTTATGGATAGGGTGATATGTCCAACCACTTCTAGATGCATCAGTATAATCCTTTGGTGAAAATGGTTTGACTTTGTTGGGTCCACATTGGTATGCTTTCCTTTGTTGTGAGAGTGCTGGAGCTTTAAAATTAGTGCAAGTAGTTCACTCAGCCTGTAATGAAGTGTTCATGAGCTTTTGGGTTTGCTTGCCCATTATGATGTGGCTTGGCTGATAATACTCCCTCCGGTTCAAAATAAGTGTCTACTTAACCATTTGCACACCCCTTAAGAAAATACTAACTCCTAGAAAAAAAATAGGTAATTTGACTAAACTATCCCTAATTAAAATTTCCTATTTAATGATATCATAGAAAATTAGAGTAATTTAAAAGACTTTCAGGAATATGTAAATAAGGGCAATTATGGAAAATAAGGTTAATTCTTTCTTGGTAAGTGACACTTATTTTGAACCAACAAACAAAGGCTAAGTGGACACTCTTTTTGAACCGGAGGGAATATATATTTATTTCTGTAAATGAGCTTGCATCCGATTATGGTTAATGTTGTGTTGCTCTGTGTATTACTACCTTCTTCGTGAATTTTCCTCTTACTATTCTACTGATTAGTCATAATAGTTTATCACCTAGTAGAATTTGGGTGGAGGCAGTGGGAATTGCGATTTTCTGATGAATGAGCTATGATAGCAGATGCTACTTCTCATCTGAGATGCTAGGTTTCTGAGTGAAAAAAAAGCTCTCTGAATTGTTTGTAGAAAAACGTCAAACGTGATTCTTTTTACTACATCTTTTGTAACATGTTACCATAAATGAAGCAATACATAGTCGTTCTGATAGCTCTTGTGTATGTTAATGAAATGAACATAAGAATTGCCCGTCATCATACTCTTTCAGTCTAAGCTATTTATAGTCTTCTAGCGCAAAACATGTTGAAAGACTATTTCTTGCAGATACAAACAGTAGCAAAGCATCGGAATATTTGGGTGGAAAATGCTGATAGATTGGTTGCTGGTTTCCTTGAGATGTTTGAAGAGGGTTGCCACAAGATGGTGAGATCACTCTCCCGCTTTTCCCATCCCCCCATCCTTCCCACGCTCCTCTTCTCTTGTCTCTATCTTGTACTCAATCCCCTACAGTTGCCTGGCAAAAGAAAAATTTAGCACTAAGCACACACAAGTGATTCCACATTGGCAACCCAGAGTGTTGAATGTCCCTGTATGAGTGGTTTAACTTCGCTCGTCTGATCATGTCTTGGGATTTCAATAGGGCACAGTCATAAGAGACCGAATTCAAGAACAGATAAGGACCAAGAGTATAAAAGGGCTTCTATATGACAAAGAAGACGACGATGATGATTATGACTACTATTATGGGAGCACTGACGATGATGAAGAATACTACGATGGTGAAGATGAAGACTAGGGTACCTCACTTTTCCGAGTTCTGAACAGTAAGGTACTTTCGTGGTAAGCTTCACCGTGTAAAGTGTAGCTTATGAATCAAGTTGGTTGAAGATGTATTATGTGTAACAGTTGGGTGCGCCTGCAATGTGCATGTTTTCTTTGGTTAGGATTTAGTGGCAATTAGTTGTGTTGTAAAACCATGATCAAGCATAGTCTTGTACTGTCGCGCTGTCAAGCAGAGTGATTTGTCTAATATGAGATCAGTAATTACATGTTTTTGAAAGGCGAAATACATAAGCGGCCCCTTCAAGTTGTTCTCAACGGTCAGCCAGACACCTCAACTGACCCTTTTATCATTTAAACACTTCAAGTGGCTATTAACTGTACCAAATAGACACCTCATAGTGACATGGCAAGTTACGTGCATTTTAGTTACAGTTTAGCGCGTGAGTCTTTTATCAGACTTGTTTTCTCTTATTTTTAGAATTAAGTTAAATTTTATGTCTGGGTCCCACGCCACATTATCATTTTTGCCCACATCTTTTAACGATCAAACCAGTGTTTTTTCACCCAAATTTCATATGAACCTTCCTCACCCCAACATCATTATCTCCACGACTCCACCACCTTAAACCACCACCTTCCACTGTAAATTCGCCACCTATATTTCAACTTGGATGCAAAAACTAATAAAAAAAAAAAGAACAAAAAAAAAAAAAACTAGAAGCTCGCATCGAGAAGGTTTCGTCAATAGTGGTATAACTCCTGTGTATTTCACTATCTCAAATCTGCCAGAGTTCATCGCCGGCGGACTGTTTATACTAGCTGCTATTGCTAGTCGAAAATGGAGCCTTGCCGGCGAATACAGCTGGTCATTTATTGTTGCTTTGTTTTTTCTCTACCTTCTCTCTGTTTCTACTAACACCTAAAATAAGTTGAGTTGGTCAGTTGGTTTGCTGATAAAGAGGCGAAATTAGAAGAGTGGTTGGGAGAATAAGGAATTTGTAAAGTCCCATTTTCTTTTCTTTGTGGATGTTGCTCTATTACATATAAATCGTTAATCATTGGAGTATTTTCTGTCCTACAATGGCGTTGGCTCTACTAAATCAGGGACGAGAGAGATAGGAGGTGAGAGGGAGATGGGGCGGAAGGAAGAAGAAGAAGAAGAATAGGGTTGGGCGTTGGGAAAGGTACTGGTGTGCTAAAAATTTAAAAAGGGTTTTTTTTGTCTTTCTTTGTTAATAACACGTGTCATTGTTTAATTAGTTCGTTTGACACGTCATTGGCAGGTGTAATTCACGCATTTGGTCTGCTGCACTCGGGTGTCTATTTGGTACAGTTAATAGCCACCTGAAGTGTGTAAATGATAAAAGGATCAATTGAGGTGTCTGACTGACCGTTGAGGAGAACTTGAAGGGGCTGTTTATGTATTTCACCTTTTGAAAATGCAAATTCTTGTGGCAAGTGCATATTAAGGACCCCGTTTCTTGACTTCATATTTTACAGCTTCAGCAGAGCAATTTTAAGTGTTTATTAATGGATTGCGTTGCACTTCATTTTTTGTTGATCAGGATTAAAAATCTTTTGGCAACTTGACTCAACGTTCTCTGTGAATCAAAAGTTGTATGATTAAGAAACACTAGAAAAAGTTTAGAAAGAACAAAACCAAAAAAATAATCATAAAAATTTAGAATTTCACTTTATGGGAACTGCATTATGAAGATGGGTTACGGTGATTTGATAGATCTTTGGAGCTATAGGACAGACAGATGCTTCATTACCCTTTTAGCTAGTAGACTAGCTGAATAATCATTTTTATCTCTATGTACTAGTTACCTCATTAAATAATCCAGATAAGCTCGACAAATAGTTACGTTCAGCAATTAGTTTTGGTCCATTTGGAATCCATTATATCATTCGGCACGCCTAATTTATAAATTACAGCAAATTATCTCATTCTCTTGGATGTATGAAGTTTACGGCCATTTCATTTATGGCATTCCACGTTTGAAAGGTACGTACATGGTGGAAAGTGGAAACCTTCATAATGGCCAATTAGAAAGAATTTTATGACTCTTTGAGTTTTCCCGTACGTTCTAATTATTTGTCCAACTTGTCTGATTGTTTTCTAAGTTTTAAACATTGAAAACTTCCAAGAAAAATTAATATTGTCATATTGTTCAATGACTACAAATTGGACCAAAAAGTTCACGTGTGATGATTGCAGATTGAAATTCCCCACCAAAATTTTCAGAGATTAGATTCAATTCTTTTTGAAAGTATAGTTATTCACAAACATTTTCCCCCATATTGCGAATTTTAACTCTTTTTTTCACTAAAAATGAAAATTCTCTTAGGTTCTTCATAATTCATTTCATGGTATTCATGCTTGGAACTTTAGTAGTAAGTTGATCGAATGTAGTGTTTCTACTTAACTATCAAATAGATGGTCTGCTCAATTATTTTGATGTGTGCTTTGTAACATTCACAAGATGGGTATTGAAGGTGTTTCAGTACTTGAATTACTGAATTCGAAAACAAGAAATGGACGATTCTTTTCATTTCTTCAACAATTTGCTCCTGCATATGAATGACCGAGAATGTGATCCAGCTAAAACTCAACTTCTTATTTAAATGAAATAATTTTCCGTACAATATGAAAACCAAACATATCCTAAATCATGTTTGCAACTAAATCGCAATTCTCTTAGTTCACCCCAAAGAAAAAGGTCGTTTCTTAAGGCAGTGACAGATGTAGCATTTGTCTACGGGTTAAATATAATTGATCACAACTTTTTTGATACAATGTGAAAAATCACTATAATCTCAAGAAATATCAAATTGTGGATTCATCTTCATCTTAAGGTGCGGAAGACTAAGATGTTCAATCTTTAGCAAGAACTACCATTCAAATTAGGGTAAATTACATAAATGGTCATATAACTATGGTGTTTTTTTCACTAATGTCATATAACTTTGTTTTCTCACACAAAAGTCATATAACTATGACTTTCTTTCACTAAAGTCATATAACTTTGTTTCTCACACAAAAATCATATAACTATGAATTTGTTTCACTAAAGTCATATAACTTTGTCTTTTCACATAAAAATCATATAACTATAATTTTTTTTATTTACGAAAATCATAGAATTATGTTTTCTCACACAAAAATCATAAAACTTTTACTAACTCACACAAAAATCATAGAGATCGAAAAATATAATTTTTCACTAATATTTTCTTATTTTGTAGATTTTTATTTTCTTATTTTCAGCCTAATAAATAATAATCCAATTAAAATAGGAATGACTCAATCCGACCTAGCCCACCCAACCCAATACTCATATATATAAATTAAAATAATATTAAAAGCGAATAGTAAATCCTTCGAAACATGATATTTCTATTTTTTATTTTTATTTTCGAGAGTTTTATTTAAATTTATAGCATTTTTATTTCAAGTGCTATCTAATTATACCTTTTATTTCTTTATTTTTTTTGTCAGAATCTCATGTATTCCGAATTGATTTTTTTATGGGGGAAGAATTCACTTTTAGTAAATAGGAGTGACCCAACTTTTAATTTATATAGATGAGTATTAGGTCGGGTGAACCAGGTCGGGTTGAGTCATTCCTATTTTAATTGGATTATTATTTATTAGGATGAATATTAGAAAATAAAAATCTATAAAATAAGAAAATACTAGTGAAAAATTATATTTTTCGATCACTATGATTTTTGTGCGAGTTAGTAAAAGTTTTATGATTTTTGTGTGAGAAACATAATTATATGATTTTGGTTTAAAAAAATTATAGTTATATGATTTTTGTGTGAAAAGACAAAGTTATATGACTTTAATGAAAAAAAAAAGTCATAGTTATATGATTTTTGTGTGAGAAGCAAAGTTATATGACTTTAGTGAAAAAAAGTCATAGTTATATGACTTTTGTGTGAGAAAACAAAGTTATATGACTTTAGTGAAAAAAAGTCATAGTTATATGACCATTTGTGAAATTAACCCTTCAAATTACGGTCATTTTGAAATTGAAATATACAATATCAAAGAGATGGTTATTAAATTAAGAAGTATAAATTAATCCGGACAATGGGGAATTTGTTCGAATTACAATGTGTATGGGTCGAAATCTGACCAGACGAGAATCCGCGTCAAGAGGAACGACAAAAAGTCACTTGGGCCGAAGTCGTATCCATACAACGCTATAATGACACGCACCTCGTCGTGTATTCAGAATGCTTGAACGGCGAATTGGATGTTACGATATTTCAGGAGGTCAGCCAGTAATACAGTCAAATGACTTAGGTGCTACGGCTAATGAACGTTGGGTAAATGAGAATACCTAGTATATAAACTAAGTGAGAAGAAGAAGAAGGGGGACTGAAAACAAACTCACACACAGAGACATGTTTTCGGAAAAGAAGAGGGATCTTCATCTCCTTCTCCCCGTTAAGGAGAAAGAAGCAAGGAAGCCCAGATCCTCAGTATACATTGTTAGTCTCATCATATCAAACGTGGGCGGGTCAACCTTGTTAAAGACCGGTGGCCCTTTTTATCTATGTATTCTTCATTATTACTGGATGTTATGAAAATCACCATCCTCTTCTTACATTACGGGATCCAATTATTGTTATGATTAAATTTTATGTTCCGCTATGCTTGTTTGTTCATATCTTCTACTTCAGATCTAGGACGAATTATCTTTAGCTAGGATTTACCTCAAATCTTCCTATTTAATTAATTTATAAAAAGATTTAACACTTTTTAGTCAACCACAATATGTTTCCAGAAGAAGATAAAAAGGTTACAGCTACAAAGCAAGACAAAAAGTATTTCCAATTAGTTCACATTATTTCAATTTGATAGTATATATCAGTGAAAAGAGACCTTATTATAAGATGTGCATGTTTAACTTCCGACTACATTTAGCAGTATCTTTTTTTTTTCCACAGTGTCTAAAAACGAAAAACTAAAGAAAAGAGAGAGTGTTTCCATTTGGTACTTGCATTTAGGGGTGACAAACGGTCGGGTCGGGTGGGTTGGATATGGGCGGATCGAGAACGTGTAATGCAAAAACGGATTATCCGACCCGATCCATATTTAATACAGATAAAAAACGGATTAACTGGCTGCTAATATGGATATCCATATTATCCATGACTTCTTGAATATGATCACTTTTGGAAGAATTCCTAGTCTCCCAAGCTTGAGAAACCCCAATTTGAGGTTTTACAAATGTAAAAGTTAAAACCATTAAGTGATTATCCATTTTCTAAGTGGGTTAATATGGTTCTTATCCATATTTGACTCGTTTTTAAAAAGTTCATTATCAAACCCACTTTTTTAATCGATAATATGGGGGGATAATTATTATTTTTAACCATTTTGCCACCACTACTTGAATTATATAGTCCAGGATATCATGTTATATGTGTTAGTAGTGGCGGAGCTACTCTTATGGAAGGCAATGGCGAAACCAGAAAATTCAATAAGGGTGATCAGAACTTGAACACCCTTTGTTGGTGGATTATGCAAGGGTGTTCAAAGTCTTTTTTGATTAATAACAAGTCTCTCCGTTTCAATTTAGATGATGTAGTTTGATTCGATACGGAGTTTAAGAAGAAAAAAAAGAAGACTTTTGAAACTTCTGGTCTTAAAAGCTTAAGGGGTAAAAGCTTTGTCGGGCCATAACATTTGTGTGGTTATAAAAGCTTCTCATTAAGGGTAAAATAGATAAAATGAAAAGTTTAAAGTTGAATTATAATCGTAGAAATGTGTCATTCTTTTTGGAACGGACTAATAAAGAAAGTGTGTCATCTAAATTGAAACAGAAGGAGTAATATTTTACCATATACACAATATAATTTTTTCGGCAAAAGTTATTCAGTTGACCACCCTTGGCCACACATAACTTTGCCCCTGATGGAAGGGACAATTGACACTCTTTTTCCGAAAAATAATAGGATTCTTCAAAATTATATCGTGTAAATACGTTAATTTTTTAATTATATATATATACTATATATTGAATTCCCTTATATGTATATTTACCTTTTTAGAATTTAACATCCTTTAATGAAGAATTTGGCTCCGCTACTGCATGTCAGTCTATCAACTTCTATTCTCACCTTTAACTAGACAATCTGTGTGTGAGTTGACAACATAAGCAAAGAGACGACAAATAGGGGAAAAAAAGGGGAAGAAAACGATATACAAAAGGCGATTTGACTACTTTATTTGTAATAAAAAAGACAAATAAAGTGAGAATACACTAAGAATGGGCTTCACTTTTGGAGAAAAATAAAATTTCCAAGCCAAAGTTGAGTTGCTAGTTTTGTCTACATATTAGGTTTTGTAGATATCATTTCCCTCTTGGTATGAAGTTGTTTAATCGCGAATTGTTGTTTTACTCATACTTCTAAGGTTGCTTGGCCAAAATGCAACAAACACTTCCAAAAGCTATGGCCTATGT